CGCATCATCCTCCGACACTTCCGCCATCTGCAATCCGACCCCACCACCAAAGACATTTTTCCCTCCCCACCCTTATCTGCTTTCCGGAGGGACCATTCTCTCCGGGATTCCCTTGTCCGCTCCACGCTCCCCTCCAGCCCCACCATGCCCAGCACTTTTCCCTGCACCTGCCCCTACACCTCCCCCCTCACCCCCATCCCAGGCCCCAAGAAGACTTTCCACATCAAGCAGATGTTCACCTGCACATCTGCTAATGTGGTATACTGCATCCGCTGTTCCCGTTGTGGCCTCCTCTACATCGGGGAAACCGAGCGGAGGCTTGGGGACCTCTTTGCAGAACACCTACGCTCAGTTCGCACTAAACAACTGCACCTCCCAGTCGCGAACCATTTCAACTCCCCCTCCCATTCCTCAGACAACATGTCCATCCTGGGCCTCCTGCAGTGCCACAACGATGCTACCCGAAGGTTGCAGGAACAGCAACTCATATTCCCCTTGGGAACCCTGCAGCCTAATGGTATCAATGTGGACTTCACAAGCTTCAAAATCTTTCCTCCCACTACCGCATCCCAAAACCAGCCCAGCTTGTCCCCACCTCCCTAACCTGTCCTTCCTCCCACCTATCCCCTCCTCCCACCTCAAGCCCCACCCATATCTCTTACCTACTAACCTCATCCCGCCCCCTTGACCTGTCCGTCTCCCCTGGACTGACCTATCTCCTCCCTACCTCCCCACCTACATTCACCTTTACTGGCTCCATCCCCGCCTCTTTGACCTGTCTGTTTCCTCTCCAACTATCTTCCCCTCTATCCATCTTCTATCCGCCTCCCCTTCTCTCCTATTTATTTCAGAACCCCCTTCCCCTCCCCCATTTCTGACGAAGGGTCTAGGTCCGAAACGTCAGCCTTCCTGCTCCTCTGATGCTGCTTGGCCTGCTGTGTTCATCCAGCTCTACACCTTGTTATCTCAGATTCTCCAGCATCTGCAGTTCCTACTATCTCTGAATCTTTAACTAACTTTGTTCCTGTTTGTTGTTTCCAGAAACGTCAGCACCACTTGCCTCCACCACACATTTGCCCACTCTCACAGTCACCAGCACCCCAACTCTCCCAGCCCATGTGCCCATTATTTTATTTCCTGACCTTGTCATAAAGGTTTTAAACATTCCCATAGCCCAAGGTTCAAACACAGACTTGTGTCAAGGGCCAGCAGGTGGCAGCATTGCTCCAAACTGCAGGCCAACCAGCTGATGATCAGAAAATCCCTGCAGTCAGAAAGAGGCCATTCAGTCCGTTGAGTGTGCACTGACCCTCTGAAGAGCATCCCATCAAGACCCAGCATCCCCCTCACCCTATCCCGGTAAGCCCAGCCATTTTATTCTTACCACAGCCAATCCACCTAATCTGCACATCTTTGGAGTGTGCGAGGAAACCGGAGCACCCGGCGGAAACCCACACAACCATGGGGAGAATGTACATACTTTGCACAGTCAGTCACCTAAGGCTGGAATCAAACCTGTGTTCCTGGCACTGTGAGGCAGCAGTGTGCTGCCCATGATGGCCTGAATCGAGTTTCAAAGTGAAGGTGGCACAATGCCAGCTGCTAGAGCCATGGGCATGTAAACAGCAGCTAAAAACAATTCAAACTAGGCAAGATAACAAAGGCAAAGAGCTGGATGAACACAGCAGGCCAAGCAGCATCAGACGAGTAGGAAAGCTGACGTTTTGGGTCTGGACCCTTCTTCAGAAATGAGGGAGGGGAAGGGGATTCTGAAATAAAGAGCGAGAGAGGGGCAGGCAGATAGAAGATAGACTGCAGTGGGAGGGAGATCCACTGAGGTCTGTTCAAACTAGGCATATGTTCAGAGTCCACCAGATGGAGAAATATCAGTGAAAATGAACCTGAATATTCATCTTACGACAGCAGGGGGTAGCAATAGTGATACTGCAGCAAAATCCTTGTGAATACACAATGGGTAAAGGTGCTGACCTAATGACAAGCCCAATAATCCAGACTCCATCCAGAGGCTGTGTTATTCGGTCTAAGGAAAGGAGGCTATTTGACCCACTGAGTCCACACCAGGCTCCCCTTGGAGAAATCAGTCAGTCTCACTGCCCTGGGTGACCCCCCCCTCACAGTCCAGTAAATTTATTTCCCACAAGCAACCATCTAATTTCCTCTTGAAATTAATCCTCATTTCTATCTTCCCTTACCCTGATGAACAATATGCTCTGGCTCATTACCACTTGCTTCATTCTCACCTCGACTTTCAATGGTGTTATCATCACTGAACCCGCATCAACATTTTGTGGGTTACCATTGACCAGAAAATCAACTGGACTTACCACATAAACACAGTTGGCTACAAGACCAGGTCGGAGGCTAGAATTACTGTGGTGAGTAACTCACCTCCTGAGTCCTCAAAGCCTGTCCACCATCTGCAAGGCACATGTCAGGAGTGTGATGAAATACTCCTGGTTGGGCGCAGCTCCAACAACACTCAAGAAGCCATCCAGGACAAAGGAGCCCACTTGACTGGCACCTCATCCACAAGGATTCGTTCCCTCCACCAACAACGCTCAGTAGTGCATGCTGCTGCTATCTACAAGATGCACTGCAGAAATTCACCAAAGATCCTCAAACCTTTCAAACACACGGCCACTTCCATCTAGAAGGAAAAGGGCAGCAGATACATGGGATCATCAGCCCCCCGTAAGTTCCCCTCCAAGCCACTCACCATCCTGACTTGGAAATATATTGCCATTCCTCTAGTGTCGCTGGGTGAAAATCCTGTAACTCCCTCCCTCAGGGCACCACAGGTGGTTTGCAGCAGTTCAAGAAGGCAGCTCACCACCACATTCTCAAGGGCAACTCGGGACAGGCAATAAATACTGGCTCAGCCAGCGATGCCCACGTCCCACGAGAGAATAAATAAAACCTCAAGCCCTAAGTTCCGCAATGCGATTGAAGTGTCCCTATTCGGTGAGTCCCTCTCTCTCGCTCGGTATACCTCACATTGGTCTCACCTTGGGACCCCTTCCTGTTGACCTGCCTCACACATCCTGCCAGCTCACAATATTGGCTCTGTGTCCCTTAGAAACAGAACTTGACCATAGCCACTTACCAAGAGGAAGAATGGAGACACAGAGTCATTTAAAAAGCTAAGCTTTAGGAGCAAGGAGAGGCCATTCTGCCCATTGAGTGCACACCAGCCCTCTGTAGCGTACTGCAATCAGTCCCATTGCCCCACTATATCGTGATAGCTTCACTCCTGATTCTGAGAGTTCCAGAAAGGCTCCAAATCTTTGGGCCCTTACTCTGCATCTTCCTCCCAATTAAAACCCTGTGTGCCCTACCCAATGTCTCACCTGTACTTCCGCACCCCTGCCCCTCCATGCAACCCAATAGGTCACAACACCAACAGTCCATACGCTGTTGACCTTTTTAATTCAATGAGGGTTTCTGCTTCCTCTCCCCTTTCAGGCACTGATCCCTAACCACTGTCAGGGTGGGAATGTTTTTTTTCTCTCATCGTCCCTTTAACCTTCCCACCAATCTCTTTAAACCCATGCTCCCTGTTCATTGACCTCTCTGCTAAGTTACACAGTAACATGGTATCCAGGCTCCCCATAACCTCAGAGAGCGTAATCCCATCTCCCCTTAACCAACTCTGCTCTGAGGATCCCCTGCCTCAGTCTCTGCAATTATTCCTCACTGCTGCATTCCCAGTCCCGGCAACATCCTGGTCAATCATATCCTTCCTTTAAGGAAGTGACCAGAGCGATAGAAAGCCACAGCTCGATGAGTCACTTCTCTTTTCTTATCTCTTGTACATTCATAAGTAAACAGAAGGATTCCTTTTGTCTTCACAACCAACTCAAGGAATCCAGGGACTGTGAACACTTCCTCCCTAAATCTAGGCCTACCCCAGCTTCTTCCATCCACTGAATCTTGCAGATGGCCCTCAATGTTCCACTGCAGAGACAGACAGACAGAGGGGGGCTGTGGTGAGAATAAGGGGCCAACCAGGGGCTGACTTTGGGGAGGGTCTGACCTTGGGGAGGAGGGTGGGGGGTGGGAAAGGGCTGCCCCCGAGGGCAGGGATAATTCTGGAGGTGGGTCTGACCTGGGGAATGGGCTGATCCTACAGAAAGCTGATGCTGGGGAAGAGGCTGATCTTATCGGGGAGGAGTTGACTGGGGAGGGGCTGACCCATTATTTTCCAAACACATTAAGGAACATGAGGCAAAGATGGGTAATGGGTTAGATCATAGATCAACCTGAATATCAGGGATGGGTCTACAGAACTATTTGTCCTGGGCTGGAATTATCCAATGTACACCATGAGTAGTGGCTCTGATTTGGTGCTCAACAATAAATGATGTTCTTTTCCAGAGCATATTGGTTAGGCCACAGCTCAAGTATTGTGTGCAGCTCTGGAATCTACATTATAGGAGGGATACACTAGAGAGGATGCAGAGGAGATTTACCAGGTTGTTGCCTGGGCTGGAGGGTTTCGGTTATGAAGCGAGATTGGACAAATGGGTGTTGTTTTCCTTAGAGCAGAGGAGATTGAGATGCATAAATTTATGAGGGGTATAGACAGACTGAGAGAAAGTTTTCCCTTGATGGAGGGATCATTGACCAGGCCAACTTAGATTTAAGGTAAGGGGAAGAAGGTTTAGAGGAGGTGGGAGGAGTAATTTTATCATGTAGAGGGTAGTGGGAATCTGGAACTCACCGCCTGCAAGGGTGGCAGAGGCAGAAATCTTCATAATAGTTAAGAAGTATTCAGATTTACACTTGCAATGCCAAGGCATACAAGGCTATGGGCCAAGTGCTGGAAAATGTAATTAGAATAGTCAGGTGCTTGTTTTTGACTGGTGAAGACTTGGTGGGCTGACAAGTCTTTATCTGTGTTACAGATCTCTATAACAGCTTTGTGGCACAATGTGCCAACCAGTGTTTAGCTCCGAGTGCCAACCAGTGTGTCCACTTACCCCCAGTTTCCGGCTCCTCATCCTCACGTATCCCTGTTTCACAATGTCATTGAAATTTGATGCCATCCTGTGGAGGAGTCTGCCAGCTCGTCAGTGCTGTGTGCCACTCAGACTCTCAACTGCCCCTTCCACAAAGTCTCCGCTCAACCCTGTCACCACCTCTCCATCGAGACTAGGGCTCTCCTGATCAGAAAACAAAACAGCAAAAAGATCAGAATCTCAAACTCCACCTCTGACAGCAGAGCGAGGGTGGGGTGTGAGATGTGGGGGAGACAGCTGGGAGAAAGGGGAAGGGGAAAGGGAAAGAAGGGGAGAGAGAGATGGTATTCAGAGAGAGAAAGGAAAGAAAGTGGGAGGCGAATTAGACTGGCTGACGAGGGAAGAGAGAGATGAGAAAGTAGGGAGAGAAAGGGAAAGAGGAGTGAGAAGAGGAGAAAGGGGAATTGGAGAGAGAGAGAGAGAGAGAGAGAGAAAAGAGAGAGAGAAAAAGAGAGGGAGAGAGAAATAGGGAGGGAGGGGGAGAGAGAGAGAGAGAGAAGGGGAGGAATTGATGGGGTGGGGAGGGAGAGTCTAAAAGACAGAGTGAAAGATAATGAGCTCAAAAAAATGGAAAGAAACGAGGTGAGAAAGGGAGGGAGAGGGAGGAGAAACAACAGACGATGTGGAGCTCAGAGCAGATGAGAATCTGCAGTGGTACAAAAATTCTTGGCCCTCTCTACTTCTCACAAGTGGGATGAATCTCACATTGTCTTGGCGAAGCTTCAGTTGTGTTGAGTTTTTTTTTGTGTTTCTCTCTGCCAGGCTGAGTAAGACTCAGTGTATTTTACCAAAGCCACCTCCATTCATGACCTACTCTGCCCCTGTAGTGCCCCACTTGCCTGATTCTGACCCTATCTTCCCACTCGCCTTTCTCAGAATTATTTGGCACTCACCAAAATGGTGCCAAGATTGTCCAACAAGGACCTGGAGGTCTTGGTTCAGGGGGAGGTGCAGAGGATGAGCTTTCTCTTCACAGAGGACTGTCAGAGGAGGCCCTGACACCAGGTAGCAGGGTGGCTCAGTGGTTAGCACTGCTGCCTCACAGCGCCAGGGACCCGGGTTCGAATGCACCCTCAGGTGACTGTCTGAGTGGAGTTGCACATTCTCCCTGTGTCTGTGCTCTGGTTTCTACCCATAGTTCAAAGATGTGCAAGTTAGGTGGATTGGCTATGCTAAATTGCCAATAGTGTTCAAGGACATGCAGGCTGGGCGAGTTAGTCATGGGAAATGCAGAGTTACAGGGATAGAGTTGGGTTGCTGTTAAGAGGGTTGGTGTGGACTCAAGGGGCTGAATGGCCTGGTTCCACACTGTAGCAACTCTATGGTCAATGACCTTCTCTGCTCTGTGACGGCAAGTACCACACTCTTCTGTCTGATGCATCACGTTCACTCAATCTCTATGACTGCACTCACCAAGGCTCATTCTTTACTGCTCTCAGTATTACCTGCAACATCTTCCCTCACTTGCTGTCAGCCTCCAACCATCTCCCACATTTCTAAATAAAAGCCAAAAGAACTGCGGATGCTGTAAAAGGCCCGAGGAAGGGTCGCTGGACCTGAAATGTTAACTCTGATTTCTCTTCACAGATGCTGCCAGACCTGTCGAGCTTTTCCAGCAACTTCTGTTCTTGTGTCTTGTGAGGTCATAAATAAGGTTTCAACCCTCCCGCAGGAGTGTACCAGCAGGCAGGAAGGTGGTTTGAAATGTGTCTACTTCAATGCCAGGAGCATCCGGAATAAGGTGGGTGAACTTGCAGCATGGGTTGGTACCTGGGACTTCGATGTTGTGGCCATTTCGGAGACATGGATAGAGCAGGGACAGGAATGGTTGTTGCAGGTTCCGGGGTTTAGATGTTTTAGTAAGATCAGGGAAGGTGGTAGAAGAGGGGGAGGTGTGGCATTGTTAGTCAAGGACAGTATTACAGTGGCAGAAAGGACGTTTGATGACAACTCGTCTACTGAGGTAGTATGGGCTGAGGTTAGAACCAGGAAAGGAGAGGTCACCCTGTTCGGAGTTTTCTATAGGCCTCCGAAAAGTTCCAGAGATGTCGAGGAAAAGATTGCAAAGATGATTCTGGATAGGAGCGAAAGTAACAGGGTAGTTGTTATGGGGGACTTTAACTTTCCAAATATTGACTGGAAATGCTATAGTTCGAGTACTTCAGATGGGTCAGTTTTTGTCCAATGTGTGCAGGAGGGTTTCCTGACACAGTATGTAGATAGGCCAACAAGAGGCGAGGCCACATTGGATTTGGTACTGGGTAATGAACCAGGCCAGGTGTTAGATTTGGATGTAGGAGAGCACTTTGGTGATAGTGACCACAATTCGGTTACGTTTACTTTAGCGATGGAAAGGGATCAGTATATAAAGCAGGGCAAGAGTTATAGCTGGGGGAAAGGCAATTATGAGGCAATGAGGCAAGATTTAGGATGCATAGGATGGAGAAGGAAACTGCAGGGGCTGGGTACAATTGAAATGTGGAGCTTGTTCAAGGAACAGCTACTGCGTGTCCTTGAGAAGTATGTACCTGTCAGGCAGGGAGGAAGTGGTCGAGCGAGGGAACCGTGGTTTACTAAAGAAGTTGAATCTCTTGTCAAGAGGAAGAAGGAGGCTTATGTAGAGATGAGGCGTGAAGGCTCAGTGAGGGCGCTTGAGAGTTACAAGTTAGCCAGGAAGGACCTAAAGAGAGAGCTAAGAAGAGCCAGGAGGGGACATGAGAAGTCTTTAGCAGGTAGGATCAAGGAAAACCCTAAAGCTTTCTATAGGTATGTCAGGAATAAAAGAATGACTACAGTAAGATTGGGGCCGGTCAAGGACAGTAGTGGGAAGTTGTGCGTGGAGTCCGAAGAGATAGGAGAGGTGCTAAATGAATATTTTTCGTCAGTATTCACACAGGAAAAAGACAATGTAGTCGAGGAGAATACTGAGATACAGTCTATTAGACTAGACGGGATTGAGGTTCATAAGGAGGAGGTGTTAGCAATTCTGGAAGGTGTGAAAATAGATAAGTCCCCTGGGCCGGATGGGATTTATCCTAGGATTCTCTGGGAAGCTAGAGAGGAGATTGCAGAGCCTTTGGCTTTGATCTTTATGTCGTCATTGTCTTCAGGAATAGTGCCAGAAGACTGGAGACTAGCAAATGTTGTCCCCTTGTTCAAGAAGGGGAGTAGAGACAACCCTGGTAATTATAGACCAGTGAGCCTTACTTCGGTTGTGGGTAAAGTGTTGGAAAGGATTATAAGAGATAGGATTTATAATCATCTAGAAAGGAATAATTTGATTAGGGATAGTCAACACGGTTTTGTGAAGGGTAGGTCGTGCCTCACAAACCTTATTGAGTTCTTCGAGAAGGTGACCAAACAGGTGGATGAGGGTAAAGCGGTTGATGTGGTGTATTTGGATTTCAGTAAAGCGTTTGATAAGGTTCCCCACGGTAGGCTATTGCAGAAAATACGGAGGCATGGGATTGAGGGTGATTTAGCGGTTTGGATCAGAAATTGGCTAGCTGTAAGAAGACAGAGGGTGGTGGTTGATGGGAAATGTTCATCCTGGAGTTCAGTTACCAGTGGTGTACCTCAAGGATCTGTTTTGGGGCCACTGCTGTTTGTCATTTTTATAAATGACCTGGATGAGGGCGTAGAAGGATGGGTTAGTAAATTTGCAGATGACACCAAAGTCGGTGGAGTTGTGGATAGTGCAGAAGGATGTTGCAGGTTACAGAGGGACATAGATAAGATGCAGAGCTGGGCTGAGAGGTGGCAAATGGAGTTTAATGTGGAAAAGTGTGAGGTGATTCACTTTGGAGGGAGTAACAGGAATACAGAGTACTGGGCTAATGGTAAGATTCTTGGTAGTGTGGATGAGCAGAAAGATCTCGGTGTCCATGTGCATAGATCACTGAAAGTTGCCACCCAGTTTGATAGCGTTGTTAAGAAGGCGTACAGTATGTTAGGTTTTATTGGTAGAGGGATTGAGTTTCGGAGCCATGAGGTCATGTTGCAGCTGTACAAAACTCTGGTGCGGCCGCACTTGGAGTATTGCGTACAGTTCTGGTCACCGCATTATAGGAAGGATGTGGAAGCGTTGGAAAGGGTGCAGAGGAGATTTACCAGGATGTTGCCTGGTATGGAGGGAAGGTCTTATGAGGAAAGGCTGAGGGACTTGAGGCTGTTTTCGTTAGAGAGAAGAAGGTTAAGAGGTGACTTGATAGAGACATACAAGATGATCAGAGGATTAGATAGGGTGGACAGTGGGAGCCTTTTTCCTCGGATGGTGATGGCTCGCACGAGGGGACATAGCTTTAAATTGAGGGGTGATAGATATAAGACAGATGTCAGAGGTAGGTTCTTTACTCAGAGAGTAGTAAGGGCGTGGAATGCCCTGCCTGCAAAAATAGTAGACTCGCCCACTTTAAGGGCATTTAAATGGTCATTGGATAAACATATGGATGATAATGGAATAGTTTAGGTTAGATGGGCTTCAGATTGGTTTCACAGGTCGGCGCAACATCAAGGGCCGAAGGGCCTGTACTGCGCTGTAATGTTCTATGTTCTATGTTCTATGACGAACTCTGCATGGACTTTATGCTTTCTACACACTCCCTCTGAGTACTGGCACCAGCACAAACAAGCTATGTCAACCACTTCCATCTCGCTCATTCCCTCCCTTTCTCTCAGTGCGGTAGAAGACAATCCATAATTGTTCTGAAAGGGGTCAGACACATGGAAGGGTGTCCGACATTATTTTCTAACCCCCTCTGAGGGCAGAATCCTGTTCCTCGAGGATCACTTGTGTGGCAGTGTCCCACCAACTCATGTATCATTTTTCATTCACTGCAGCTGTCACAGTCACCTCACAAGAGGTCAGCGTCAATGTCATTGTCAGTACCAGTGTCAGTCATTTCATACAAATTGTAACCCAACAGCTTCTGTCCTTGCAGGTGCCAGTGTGGCTTATCTGGGACCTAGAATCATAGAATCCCTACAGTGTGAAAGCCATTTGTCTCATCAAGTCCATACCGCCCCTCCAAAGAGCATCCCATCCGAGACCCTCCCACCCCCCTACCCTTTGCCTGTAATCCTGCATTTTCCTGCACATTCCTGAACACTTTGGGCAATTTAGCAGTGGCCAATCCACCCTGACCTGCACCTCTTTGGACTGCAGAACCTGGGACATCAATAAGATGTAGAGGGAGGGAAAACCTTTGAGGCCACTTCAGTGGCATGGCTGACAGCACACTATACATAACGTATCAATCACATTTATATAAATTTTATTGGTTTTTGTGCCACATCCATTTGTTTCACTCTGTGTAATCCCGAAGAAGCTGAAAAGCTGGCTTCACGTCCATGCAGGATGTACCACTGATCAATGTTTGTATTGAGACCCCTGCTGTAATTTACACCACATAAGAGGCCATTTGGCCCATCGTGTCTGTGCTGGCTCACTGTTGATCATTCCGGTCAGTCCCACATCTCTCCTAATCCCCATGTCCCTGTGAGGTCGTTTCCCTTGAGTCTCCATCCAATTTCCTTTAGAAATTATTTCCTTTTTCTTTCCCCACTGCATAGTCAGGGAGTTCCAGGTCATTATCACTCATTGAGGTAAAATGTTCTTCCTCACATATTTCCCACCCCACCCCCACAACGTCCCCTGACCATCTGCGCCGCTCACTCCTTGTACCATCTGTTAATGGAAACCGCTTCCCACGTCAACGGTGTCCGCGAACCTATCGCAAAATCCTGTCCATATTCATTAAATCTGCCCTCAAACTCCTTCACTCCGAAGTGAACAGCCCCAACTTCTTCAATTGAACCTTATATATAAACACCCTGACCTCCAGACCTATTCTGGTGAATCTCCTCTGCATTCTCTCCAGGTCCCTCACATTTTTCCTAAAGTGCTGTCATTGTGGCCTAACCAGAGTTTTATAAACATTCTGTGTAACCTCCTTGTTTCTGTTCTGAACCTTTATTTATCAAGATCCCGTTGCTTTTCCAGCTATTCTCTCACTATGACCTGCTAACTTCAAACATCACTGCAACGAACCCCCAGCTCCCTCTGTCACTGCCCACTCTTTCAGTTTGGGTCTTTAAAACCACATTGCCTATCCTTATCCTTTCTGCCAACATGCATCCTATTAAATTCCATCTGCCACGTCTCCACCCATTCTGCTAGCCTATTTATTTCCTGTGGCATTCGACTAATATCATCCTCACTATCGACAAACCTCCACGTTTAATACCAGTGACCGATTTGTTGCTACATTCCAGTGGTCCAAGCGCTGACCTTAGGAGACATCCTCCAGTTGGTAAAATGACCCTTTAGCATGACTCGCTGTTTTCTGTCTTGAAACCAGTTTTTGTTCCAGATTGAAAGTAACCTGAAACTATGAGTCTGCCAGCCTAGTTTTAAATGTGGCAGTGTCATGTGTTCTCTTCTTGGATTATTTGCAGGTCCTCAATGATTATTAACTGAAATGTGCCAAAGTGCTCACTGTCTCGCCAACTGAGCTAACCTCACTGTCAAATACTTGCTGAAAATCCAGCCCATTCCATTCCCCAGCCATGAGGGAAATCTGACTCACGAGTGATCTACCAGAACTCTACACAATTTGAAACTTTAATTCTGCTTTCTCTCCACAGATTCTGCCAGACTTGCTGAGTTTCTGTTTTTGTTTCAGATCTCCAGCATCTGTAGTTCTTCGTTTTCTCTAGGACTTGCACAGTAAATGGTAAGGTCCGGAGGAGTGTTGTGGAACACAGCGACCTAGGAGTACAAGTACATAGTTCAACAATAGTCACAGATAGACACGCTGGCCCTCAGTCAAGACATTGAGTATAGGAGTTGGGACATTACGTTACACTTGGAGTATTGTGTACAGTTTTGGTCACCCTGTTATAGGAAAGACACAGTTAAACTGGAAAGTGTGCAGAGATTTATGAAGATCTTGCCAGGACTAGTAGGCCTTAGTTATAGGGAGAGGTTGGCCAGGATAGGACTTTATTCCTTGGAATGTAGGAGAATGAGGGGTGACCTTACTGAGATGTATAATATCATGAAGGGCAAAGATAGGATGAAAGTCTTTTTCCCAGGGATAGGAAGTTAAAAACTACAGGGCATAGATTTAAAGTGAGAGGGGATAGATTTAAGCAGCACCTGAGGGACAACTCTTCATGCATATGGGGAATGGGCTGTCAGAGAAAGTGGTTGAAGCAGGTACAATAGCAACACGTAAGAAACATTTGGATAGGTACGTGGCTGGGAAGGGTTTAGAGGGATATGGACCAAATACAGGCAATTGGAACTAGCTAAGTGGGCACCATAGTCAGCAATGGACCAATTTGGGCCAATTTGGGCCAAAGGGCCTGTTTGCATGCTGTATTACTCTATTAATCTAGTAATCTCTCATGAAGGACTCCTCTGTAACTGTTGCATTTCTACATTTTTCTGTTCCCTGCCTGTAGTCTGGGAAATCAGAGGGGTTTGGCTGCAGGGTGGGAGTCTTACTACACTCCTGCAAGGAAACAACATCCTAAACTGAGTATTTCTATGTTCCTACACCCCTATTATTAAAGGCAAGAATATGGTGTGCTTTATTAACTGTTCTCTTAATGATCTGTCCTGCCACCTTCAATGGCTTACACACAAATACCCCTTGCTCCTCTGTTCCTGTAACCCCCATTAGATATCTATACTTTATACTGTCCCTTCATTTTATTCCTCAACAAATGGTGTTACCTCACTCTTCTCCATATTGAACTTCAGCTCCCTGTCTTCCCATTTCCACCAACTTCTGCTGGAATATATTTACGAAGTTCTACTCAGTGTTCCTCACGGTTTACAATTATTAGATTTTATGTATGATCTGCAAACCTAGTCCCCCAGGGTCTAAAGCATTTTTATGTATCAGGAGAAGGTCTCAACACTGACCCCTGGGGAACTCCACTATAAACTGCCCTCCTGACTGAGACAAGATCCATTAAACACTACCCTGTGTTTCCTATCCCTCAGCCAATTTCAGATCCAGGTTGCTACTGTCCTCCTTATTTCATGAGCTTTCAAAGAACATAGAACAATATAGCACAGGAACACGCCCTTTGACCCTCCAAGCCTGCGCTGACATATCTTGCCCTTCCTCACTAAAAGTCTCTTCACTTACAGGATCCGAATCCCTCGACGCCCTTCGTATTTGTGTAATCGTTCAGGTGCTTCTTGAATGCTGCTATTGTGTCTGCTTCCACCACCTCCTCTAGCAGCGCATTCCAGGCACTCACCACCCTTTGTGTGAAAAAACCTGCCTCGCACATCTCTTTTAAACTCCCTCCCACGCATCTTGAACCTGTGTCCCTTAGTAATTGACCCTTCCACTCTGGAAAAAAGCCTCATATTTTCCACTCTATCCATGCCATTCACAATCTTATAAACTTCTATCAGGTCATCCCTCAAACTCCTGCATTCCAGTGAAAACAAACCCAGTCTATCTAACCTTTCTTCATACAGAAAATCCCCCATACCATGCAACATCCAGGTAAACCTTTTCTGTACCTTCTCCAAAGCATCCACATCCTTCTGTCAGTGTGGTGACTAGAACTGTACGCAATAAGACACACGTTTGTTGTGTGACACTGTGTCAAATGTACATGGACTTACAAAAGACATCACATCCACAGCATAACCCTGATCAACCCTCTCTGACCTCTTCCAAAAAACTTCAGCTATTTAGTTAACCATGATTTACCCTCAAGAAATTCATGCTGGTTCTCATAATTCATCTGCAGGTGACTAGGTGACTTGATTTTGATTCAATTATTGTCACTTGTACCAAAATATAGTGAAAAGCTTTGTTTACGAGTGGTACAGGCAGATCATCTAAGCAAAGGATGTACAGATCAAAAAGACTTAGACAGCAGCAAACAGGTTACATTGCACAGGGCGTGCGCTAGGCAAGATCAACTTTAGCAAGATCAGTGCTATTTGAGGCTAGAGAGACCATTCAGTCTGATAATGGCTGGGAAGAAGCTGTTCCTGAACCTGCTCGTGTGTGTTCAGGCTTCTGTATCTTCTGCCTGACGGAAGAGGTTGTAGGATGTCATTACCGGTGTGTGATGGGTCTTTGAAGATGTTGGCAGCCTTTCTGCAGCAGCGAGCTGTGTAAATGGAGTCCATGGATGGAAGGTTGGCTTCTGTGATGGTCTGGGCTGTGCGCACCACCTTCTGTAGTTTCTTACAGTCCTGGGCTGTACCAGTTGCTGTACCAAGCCGTTATGCACCTGGACAGTATGCTTTCAATGGTGCATCTGTAAAAGTTGGTGAGGGTCTTTATGGACATGCCAAATTTCCTGAGCTCCTGAGGAAGAAGAGGCGTTGTTGTGCCTTCTTGACTGTTGCATCTACATGGGAAGTCCAGGACAGGTTGTCGGTTATTCTGAGTCACTCCGAGGAACTGGATGCTCTTCACCCTCTCAACCTCAGTTTCATTGATGTAGATGGGGGGAGTGTTCTACTCCCTTCTTTCTGAAGTCAATGATCAGTTCTTTAGTTTTTGTGACATTGAGATTGTTTTCATTGCACCACGTCACCAAGCCCTCTATCTCCCTTTTGTAGTTTGATTCATTGTTAGATATCCAATACAGTGGTGTTGTCAGCAAACTTGCACGTGGGCGCTCATTTGGAATTTGGCAACACAGTTGTAGGTGTATAGGGAGTACAGTAGGGGGCTGAGGGTGCAACCTTGGGGGCCTTCAGTGTTGAGTGTTATTGTGGAGGAGGTGCAGTTACCTGCCTTCGCTGATTGCGGTCTGTGAGTGCTGGGCTAGGGACATGGTATCCTCTGTGAACCTGTTACATCAGTTGGCAAAGTGTAGGGGATCGAGGCGGGCTGGGAGACTGGAGTTGATGTGGGCCATGACCAGCCTCTCGAAGCACTTCGTGATTATTGAAGTCAGAACCACTGAGCGGTAGTCAGTAAGGCACATTGCGTGTGTTTTCTTGGGTACAGGGATGATGATGGTCTTCTTGAAGCAGATGGGGACTTCGGCTTGTAGGAGGAAGAGGGTGAAGATGTTGGTGAATACCTCCACTAGTTGGTCCACACGGGGTCTGAGTGCTTGGCCAGGGACACTGTCCGGGCCCGTTGCTTTCCTTGGGTTGACTCCCAGGAAGACCGATCTGACTTCTGAAACAGTGACAGAGGGAACAGGTGTGTCTGGGGCTGTCGGGGTAAGCATCACCGCACCGCTGGCATTCTGCTCAAACCAAGCATAGAAAGCATTGAGCATGTCAGGGAGGGATGTGTCTTTGTCTGCTGTCTTGCACTGCTTCATTTTGTATCCCAAAATCTCATTTAGGCCTTGCCATAGGCGTTGGGAGTCTGTTTGCGCATCTAACTTGGTCCAGTACTGCCTCTTGTCATCCCCAAGGCTTTGCGGAGCTCATATCTGGATTTCCTGTATTGGTCCAGGTCACCCAACTTGAATGCTGCACGTCTGGTCTGGGAGTGGACTTCCTGGTTCATCCAAGGTTTACGGTTGGGGAACACTTGGATTGACTTATTTGGTATGCAGTCCTCCACATACCTGCTAATGAAGTCCATGATTGCGGTGGCATACTCATCTAGGTTCTGTCCAAGTTTATCATTTCTAAAAGCTCCTAGCAACCTTACCAGATAAATGGCCTTGTTCTGGAAATAGAGGGGGTACAACGAAGGTTTACCGGACTGATTCCTGGAATGGCAGGACTCTGGTATAAAGAGAGATTGGATTGGCTACAAGTGTATTCACTGGAGTTTAAAAGAAGGAGGGGAGATTTCAAAGAAACTTATAAAATTCTAGCAGGATTGGACAGTGTAAAAATCCAAGGAAGGATGTTCCTGATGACCAGGGAGTCCAGAACCACGGGTCACAGTCTAAAGATGTAAAGCACACCATTTGGGACTAAGATGAAGGGAAATTTTTTCACTCAGAGAGTGATGAGCCTGTAGAACTCTCTGCCGCAGAAAGAGATAGAGGCCAAAATATTGAATACTTTCAAGGACTTAGGGCTAAATGGACCAAAAGGAATAGAGAGAAAATAGGAACAGGGAATCAAGTTTGATGGTCAGTCATGATCGAAATTGAATGGTGGAGCAGGCTTGAAGGGCTGAATGGCTTACCCCGAATTTCTATGTTTCTGCGTAAACTTTCTGGCACCAATCCGGAATCTATGGAAAACTGAAAAATTATGGCAAGTACCTTCACAATTTCAGTTCTCATTTTGCTCAGAATCCTTGAAGCATCTCATCTGGCCCTGGTCCTGAGATTTTAGATCCAAACAGCTTATCCAATATTTCCTCCTTCTCAGTTTTAAATCTTGAATTTATGAATTTGCTCCTCTGTCTGAATCTGGATCAGACTCTTCAGAAACCTGGGAGCGGTGTAAACTCTCTCTCTCTCTCCCCCCCCACCACATCTACAAAGGGTCTGTAACATTTTCAGGTCTTTTTAGCTTTGTGTCTTGGATTGCCTCTGAAGCCGGCAGCACGCAGAGGGCTGCAAAGGAAGCCGTGTTGTCGACCAGGGAAAGCTGGGCCCATCAGTCTGCAGAGGCAGAAGCTCGACAGCTCAGCAAACCTTCAGTATGCCACGGGCACTAGGGCCTTGCAGAATCAGCAGTCTCCTGGATGGCAGTGTAATGAGTGAGTGAGTCATGGTGGGAACGAGCTGTTGAGTGTTTAGATGTGGAGCATCGAGACAGGCTCCACAGCCTTTTCTGACAGAAACAATGAGGAG